TCAATACGGTCACCATGACAAGCAATATTGTATGTGTAGCTGTAATATTAGAGTAAGTGAGTGAGTGAGTGAGTGAGTGAGTGAGTGAGTGAGTGAGTGAGTGAGTAGGTTTTACGCCGATTTTAGCAACATTCCAGCAATAGCTATATGTGTAGCTGTAATATTACACCAGTGTTAAAATTGTTCCCAAAGACATTTCAAGATGGCTGTGTTGGTTGCCATATTGAAAGTCAGATTCGACTACTGACACCACTTGGACAATCAACATGATCAAGCAAGGTTTCACGCCAACAGTTCACAGCTGGTTGTAGATGAGTGAATGGTTTTACACTACTTGAAGATAAGTTGCAGAATATCATTACAGTGGGCACCAATATGGGGCTCAATTACTGTGTCCATCGCCTTATTCAAACACAAGTATTCAGTGTGACTATTGCTGCTTAAGGCAACATTTTTTATATTTTCGTCAATAGATTCAACCGACTGGAGCGAAAAGCAACAATCATAACCTAAAAGATAACAGTGTAACAAAAAATTCTTAAACGATGAAAAAAGAGAGATACAATTTTTAAAATCATATAACATTTAAGGGACATTTAATTCAACTTTTCAAACAAAAAATATTCAAATGCGTATCTCGTAGATTCTGGCCAATGCATGCCTCTCATCCAGAGCAATATGTAGCTATATGACAGTGGCCTGTAAATGATCAACCCTGGACCAGATAACCCAGTGATCGATATTGTGAGCAACAATGATCCATGCTGTTGGGGTACAACTTCAAGACACAGAGTCAACCAAGTCACCAAACCTGACCACCCAATCCATTACATTGCTTCTTTTGTTAATGAGGAGCATTTCTAACCCAGAATCACCACACGGCAGAGTACAAAGCATGTCATTCTAACCCAGAATCCCCACACGGCTAAAAACAAAGCATGTCATTCTAACCCAGAATCGCCACACAGCAGAATACAAAGCATGTCATTCTAACCCAGAATCCCCACATGGCAGAATACAAAGCATGTCATTATAAACCAGAATCCCCACACGGCAGAATACAAAGCATGTCATTCTAACCCAGAATCCCCACACCGCTGAATACAAAGCATGTCATTCTAACCCAGGATCCCCACACGGCAGAATACAAAGCATGTCATTCTAACCCAGAATCCCCACATGGCAGAGTACAAAGCATGTCATTCTAACCCCGAATCCCCACACGGCAGAATACAAAGCATGTCATTCTAACCAAGAATCCCCACACGGCAGAGTACAAAGCATGTCATTCTAACCCAGGATCCCCACATGGCAGAATACAAAGCATGTCATTCTAACCCAGAATCCCCACACCGCTGAATACAAAGCATGTCATTCTAACCCAGAATCCCCACATGGCAGAGTACAAAGCATGTCATTCTAACCCAGAATCCCCACATGGCAGAATACAAAGCATGTCATTCTAACCCCGAATCCCCACACGGCAGAATACAAAGCATGTCATTCTAACCCAGAATCCCCACATGGCAGAATACAAAGCATGTCATTCTAACCCAGAATCCCCACACGGCAGAGTACAAAGCATGTCATTCTAACCCAGAATCCCCACACGGCAGAGTACAAAGCATGTCATTCTAACCCAGAATCCCCACACCGCTGAATACAAAGCATGTCATTCTAACCCAGAATCCCCACACCGCTGAATACAAAGCATGTTATTCTAACCCAGGATCCCCACAAGGCAGAATACAAAGCATGTCATTCTAACCCAGAATCCCCACATGGCAGAATACAAAGCATGTCATTCTAACCCAGGATCCCCACATAGCAGAATACAAAGCATGTCATTCTAACCAAGAATCCCCACATGGCAGAATACAAAGCATGTCATTCTAACCCAGAATCCCCACACGGCAGAGTACAAAGCATGTCATTCTAACCAAGAATCCCCACATGGCAGAATACAAAGCATGTCATTCTAACCCCGAATCCCCACATGGCAGAGTACAAAGCATGTCATTCTAACCCAGAATTGCCACACGGCAGAGTACAAAGCATGTCATTCTAACCCAGAATCCCAACACGGCTAAAAACAAAGCATGCCATTCTAACCCAGAATCCCCACATGGCAGTGTACAAAGCATGTCATTCTAACCCAGAATCCCCACACGGCTAAAAACAAAGCATGCCATTCTAACCCAGAATCGCCACACGGCAGACTACAAAGCATGTCATTCTAACCCAGGATCCCCACACGGCAGAATACAAAGCATGTCATTCTAACCCAGAATCCCCACACGGCTAAAAACAAAGCATGCCATTCTAACCCAGAATCGCCACACGGCAGAATACAAAGCATGTCATTCTAACCAAGAATCCCCACATGGCAGAATACAAAGCATGTCATTCTAACCCAGAATCCCCACACGGCAGAATACAAAGCATGTCATTCTAACCCAGAATCGCCACACGGCAGAATACAAAGCATGTTATTCTAACTCAGAATCCCCACATGGCAGAATACAAAGCATGTCATTCTAACCCCGAATCCCCACATGGCGGAAAACAAAGCATGTCATTCTAACCCAGAATCCCCACATGGCAGAATACAAAGCATGTCATTCTAACCCCGAATCCCCACATGGCAGAAAACAAAGCATGTCATTCTAACCCAGAATCCCCACATGGCAGAATACAAAGCATGTCATTCTAACCCCGAATCCCCACATGGCAGAATACAAAGCATGTCATTCTAACTCAGAATCCCCACACGGCAGAATACAAAGCATGTCAGAAGTAAACATATACACAGGAAATAAATGCATACTTGACATCCTGTACTTCAAGTTCTCTATTTTACATTTGGTATTTTCGTGAGCATGGTGAGGTGAGATAGAATTGGGTTAAGTTCCAGATAATTTCACCCATATAGCAACATGCATGCATGTCTGTTTGTGGCTGCTTGTGCTAGTCCAGACTTATAGTGCAAGCCGACTGAGATACCACTGCAGTTTACCATGGCTACCCTATTCCGACATAGCATACTGACTCTGAGGCGACCAGTCATTCTCAACAGATACCTTCTTGTAACATCATCTTGGTATGACGCGACCAGCCCAGGATCAAACCACCACCTTCCATTCTCCAGTCAGAGTGAGTGAGTGAGGATTGTTTTACGCCGCTTTTAGCAATATTCCAGCAATATCATGATGGAGGACACCAGAAATGGGCTTCACACATTGTACCCATGTGGGGAATCAAACCTGAGTCTTTGGCATAACGAGTGAACGCTTTAACCACTAGGCTACCCAACCGCCCCTCTCCAGTCAGAATGCCCTATCAATAACACCACGGAGGCGGTCGGCATTGTTGTGAAATGTGTCAGGAATGTTGTGAATCTTAATGGCATTTACAATGAAATAGCAACACTGCTTGAAGTTCAGGGGAAGCTATGAAGAGCATAGTGCACAGAGCATGAGTGACGATGTACTCATCATTAAGTATACATCTCACGCCTTGAGTGACGATGTACTCATCATTAAGTATACATCTCAAGCCTTGAGTGACGATGTACTCATCAATAAGTATACATCTCATGCCTTGAGTGACGATGTACTCATCATCAAGTATACATCTCATCCCCTGAGTGACGATGTACTCATCATCAAGCATACATCTAATGCCCTGAGTGGCGATGTACTCATCATTAAGTATACATCTCATGCCTTGAGTGACGATGTACTCATCATCAAGTATACATCTTACGCCTTGAGTGACGATGTACTCATCATTAAGTATACATCTCATGCCTTGAGTGACGATGTACTCATCATCAAGTATATTTCTCACGCCTTGAGTGACGATGTACTCATCATTAAGTATACATCTCACACCTTGAGTGACGATGTACTCATCATTAAGTATACATCTTACGCCTTGAGAGACGATGTACTCATCATTAAGTATACATCTCATGCCTTGAGTGATGATGTACTCATCATTAAGTTTACATGTCATGGCCTGAGTGACTATGTACCCTTCATCAAGTATACATCTCACGCCTTGAGTGACGATGTACTCATCATTAAGTATACATCTCATCCCCTAGTGACGATGTACTCATCATTAAGTATACATCTCACGCCTTGAGTGACGATGTACTCATCATTAAGTATACATCTCAAGCCTTGAGTGACGATGTACTCATCATCAAGTATACATCTCATCCCCTAGTGACGATGTACTCATCATCAAGTGTACATCTCATGCCTTGAGTGACGATGTACTCATCATTAAGTATACATCTCACGCCCTGAGTGACGATGTACTCATCATCAAGTATACATCTCATCCCCTGAGTGACGATGTACTCATCATTAAGTATACATCTCATGCCCTCAGTGACGATGTACTCATCATTAAGTATACATGTCATGCCTTGAGTGACGATGTACTCATCATCAAGTATACATCTCATCCCCTGAGTGACGATGTACTCATCATCAAGTATACATCTCACGGTTTCAGTGACGATGTACTCATCTTTAAGTATACATCACTAACTTGAGTGACGATGTACTCATCATTAAGTATACATCTCATGCCTTGAGTGACGATGTACTCATCATTAAGTATACATCACTAACTTGGGTAAAGCAGGGTAACAATTTGTGAGGTTTTAATAACAGCAGGATTATCCCACTCACAGTTATAAAAACAATTTAACTTGTAACCTATTCTTTCCAGATCCCTGACTTAAAGGGCAGGAAGATCCTTAAACCGATTAACAAAAAATACAACAGCAAATACTTCAGCATCAATAAACTTGAGCCACCTCCAAACACCCAACACCTAATTAAATATCTCACAATGCATCCTCAGTAACAGAGACCATCTAAATGAGGAAATTAAAAGTTTTTTCAAAATGTTCAAGATGCACGAGATGAATCGGATGCTGTGGTACAGGAAGAACGGAGTGTAACAAGGAGAAGTCCATTTACCCGTACAATGAGCTGCAACGACTTCCAGCTTGTATCGCGTGTCCGACGTATTTTCAGCCAGCCCTGGTGAAATGTTGATAAGGTTTCCACGTGTGTTATATAACTTCAGGATGTCGTTAGGCCCTGCTTCTGCTGCTGCTCGGAAGGTTTCTGTAACAGATAGATAGAAATTAGATAGTACTGGGACTTTGGTCAAGAAAATTGGACAAGAATCTCTTGAAGAAAATTTGGGATCAACCTTACTGGTAACGATCATGTTAATTTCCCCTATTCCTTGTTTCTGCTTTTGCTGCGATTTTTACTGCATCAAAACTAACAACAATAAACCTTCACTCAGCAATATTCCAGCCATGTGACAGTGGTGATCAGACAACAAGAACATAGGACAGAGAACAAGAACAGAGAACAAAGACAGGTGGACCAGGAGGCCATGGCAGAAGCTTACTTGACTATCAGTCAGGTGAGCTAAAAAAACCACTTCTACCGGAAATAGCACCATGGCACTGTAGCTCACCAGGTACATGAATGTCAGAGAGAGGAATAGGAACAACTCCCACGACATGAGTGAGTGAGTGAGTGAGTATGGTTTTACGCCGCCACAAGAAAAAATACCCATATATACAAAATATACAATTTTGTATATTTGATATTTCCAAAATATACAATTTTGTATAGTTGGTATTTCCAAAATATACAATTTTGTATATATGGTTAGATTTTACCACTGCTTCATTCAATTTCCTCACCTCTTATAGAATGTTTCACATAATATGTGGTTGCAAAGTTTACTAATGATACCGAACAGTATAATTATTGCATGTGACAATAATGCTTTAATACTATTTTCATTATGACAACTATATGATGTTATGAAATAATTTGTATTTCGTTATGTTTTACAGATCTTAATAACAGTTTGATCAATATAAAATGCGTACGCCAGCAACAAGTAGTTGAAAGTAGTTTTAAACATTGAAGTTTATCGTTCCAAAGCTCTGTTCTCCAGCTCAGTTCGTCTTTGTTTACGAGAACGTTTTTAATATGGGCAATTTTCTTCTGTCGGGACATTGGAGCAGTCATAATATTCATAACATCATAAATATTAAGATTACAGGCAATTTTAACAACTTTAGTACTCCATGAAATTTTACATAGTAACCATTTTCTTCATCAAAGCGTTACAAGTACTGTTATTAAATCTTGGGGTAGTCTAAAAACATAAGCATGTAATGTAACAAACGGGGAGGAGAGACCCATGTCTCCATTAGTGGCTATACATGGAGGTACCGTTACTAACACCAAGAAATAATTTACCGGCTCTATTTTGGATTAGATTAACGTTTTATCCTCATATACCAGAGCCATAGAACATTACCGGCTCAACAAGACTTTCATACAGTTTCATAAAAAACATCATAAGACATACACCCAACAGAATAAGACAAAGCATGGCTGGCAGAATTGTACAACTCTTTCACAGTTTCACATATCTAGATGCTCGTCAACCCGTAGTCCCAGATAACGATATGATTCTACATAGACCAGTGTTTGCCCAGCGTAGAGGAATCTGGTTAATCTGTATCACTTAACGAGTGGTGAATAGCTTACTCTGCCCACAGTCGAGAGCAGCACAGTAATTAGTAGTTTAGACCAGGCGAATACACTGGTCACACTTGACTGGTCTGTCTGATGATTCGGTCACCTGCCAAATGGGATGTCTGACAATTGGGTGTGAACCTTACAGAGGAAGTTATTTTATGAATGCGTCACGTGTTTCAAAAGAGATGACCATTATCTAAGTAAAATACTTCTAAGATCATAAAGGACATAACATTTAATAAAGTGAAATTCATTTTCGACAAACTTTTATGAACAATTTTAAAACAGTGCGGGCAAATTCTATTTTCTAAAAGGTTTGGGGGGTTGTAAATCGTCCTGTTTCGATCCAGATCTAAAACTAGCTAAAATGCGACGGTGGTCCCTGTATTTAAAACATAAGGAGCAACAACGTTACGATCATGAAAGTTCTTAATGTATTGCCCTTAACGTTATGTTTATCGTTCCAAAGCTCTGTTCTCCAGCTCAGTTCATCTTTGTTTACGAGAACGTTTTTAATATGGGCAATTTTCTTCTTTCGGGTCATTGGAGCAGTCATAATATTCATAACATCATAAATATTAAGATTACAGGCAACTTTAACAACTTTAGTACTCCATGAACTTTTACATAGTAACCATTTTCTTCATCAAAGCGTTACAAGTACTGTTATTAAATCTTGGGGTAGTCTAAAAACATTAGCATGTAATGTAACAAACGGGGAGGAGAGACCCATGTCTCCATTAGTGGCTATACATGGAGGTACCGTTACTAACACCAAGAAATAATTTACCGGCTCTATTGTGGATTAGATTAACGTTTTATCATCATATACCAGAGCCATAGATCGTTACCGGCTCAACAAGACTTTCATACAGTTTCATAAAAAACATCATAAGACATACACCCAACAGAATAAGACAAAGCATGGCTGGCAGAATTGTACAACTCTTTCACAGTTTCACATATCTAGATGCTCGTCAACCCGTAGTCCCAGATAACGATATGATTCTACATAGACCAGTGTTTGCCCAGCGAAGAGGAATCTGGTTAATCTGTATCACTTAACGAGTGGTGAATAGCTTACTCTGCCCATCAGTCGAGAGCAGCACAGTAATTAGTAGTTTAGACCAGGCGAATACACTGGTCACACTTGACAGCTCTGTCTGATGATTCGGTCACCTGCCAAATGGGATGTCTGACAATTGGGTGTGAACCCTACAGAGGAAGTTATTTTATGAATGCGTCACGTGTTTCAAAAGAGATGACCATTATCTAAGTAAAATACTTCTAAGATCATAAAGGACATAACATTTAATAAAGTGAAATTCATTTTCGACAAACTTTAATGAACAATTTTAAAACAGTGCGGGCAAATTCTATTTTCTAAAAGGTTTGGGGGGTTGTAAATCGTCCTGTTTCGATCCAGATCTAAAACTAGCTAAAATGCGACGGTGGTCCCTGTATTTAAAACATAAGGAGCAACAACGTTACGATCATGAAAGTTCTTAATGTATTGCCCTTAACGTTATGTTTATCGTTCCAAAGCTCTGTTCTCCAGCTCAGTTCATCTTTGTTTACGAGAACGTTTTTAATATGGGCAATTTTCTTCTTTCGGGACATTGGAGCAGTCATAATATTCATAACATCATAAATATTAAGATTACAGGCAATTTTAACAACTCCATGAACTTTTACATAGTAACCATTTTCTTCATCAAAGCGTTACAAGTACTGTTATTAAATCTTGGGGTAGTCTAAAAACATTAGCATGTAATGTAACAAACGGGGAGGAGAGACCCATGTCTCCATTAGTGGCTATACATGGAGGTACCGTTACTAACACCAAGAAATAATTACGGGCTCTATTGTGGATTAGATTAATGTTTTATCCTCATATACCAGAGCCATAGAACATTACCGGCTCAACAAGACTTTCATACAGTTTCATAAAAAACATCATAAGACATACACCCAACAGAATAAGACAAGGCATGGCTGGCAGAATTGTACAACTCTTTCACAGTTTCACATATCTAGATGCTCGTCAGCCCGTAGTCCCAGATAACGATATGATTCTACATAGACCAGTGTTTGCCCAGCGTAGAGGAATCTGTTTAATCTGGTTAATCTGACTGTTGGAATATTATCTATGCATTATCCTGTCTAAAAATCTAGATATATTTACAATATCATGTATGCATTTTTGAATCATTGTATTCCGGAGTGGTCTTCATATAAACTTCTTGACCAATCCGCTTCATGTACATTTTCAGAAAAACATAACATAACATGGGATCACCGTTCGAATTGAGCCTCGCTCAATTTCCCTGTGCGCTGTGATTTTTTATTTATTTTTTTTAAATGAAAATTTTACAGGGACTAGCTGTGCTACCACACATGTTAAACCATTTTTACAGTTTTGTCTAATTTTAGCGATAATGAAAACTGAGTAGAGATAAGATATATTGATGAACAACGTCTTTATTACAGTTAGGAGCGACGCTTAGGTGTATGTTGTAACACCATTATCAAGCAAGTGATGTTGTTCATCCACAGATCTTATCCTCTCTCAATACTCCAACTTCTAAATTCCTCGCAAAGAAGATAATGATACTTGTTTTGAATCTTGCCATCGTACAAAATATTCTTCGCACAGTATTCAAGAAACAATGTAATATTAATATCATACTACGCCATCAATATATGTTGTGCAATATTTGAGAGGTTGGCGCCTGTCGGGACGGTGTGAGATGCTAAAAATGTTCTTGAATAGTCTAGTATCCTTTGGCTAGTGACAGCTACCACTGTTTATTCCCATTCAAGTTGCTAACGGTGTTTCATCTAAACAGTATTATGGGAACGGAAATTAAAACATTACTTCATTCGTTATGCTACCATTTTTGAATATATGTCCATGAGATTAATCTGTTCATTTTTCCGTATTTTTATTACGGAACTTATAGCTTTGTGTGGCACAAACGATCAAATAGTAAGATGACTACAATTAAAGGGCATTAATAACGAGAGGCTGTTCACATATATGTACATCATATATGTATCACGCGAATCATTTCTGATTTTACTCGACGTAAGAGCTAGAAACGTTACCTACTTCCGGCGCAGCGGTTCTAGATGTTGGCGCTATCTAGATTGGGTCCCTGACACATGCAGCTCTATTTGATGGGGGTATTGTACTTAATAAGCTGAACTTTTATAAATCTATTTTTTGCAAATATATACTGGTCACTCCAACTAATCATTGTTACTAAAATATATAGGATTGTTGTCTATAACGTGTCCATTCGTATGTCTGTTTTACGTCTGTTCTACTAATTATTGACACTAAGAAACTCGTACAATTTTTTAAATCATTACTAAACGTGTTGTACTTGTCTACATCTGAATCGAAAAGTGGGAGAAAAGTTGCTTACTGTATTTTGCCGCCTTTGATGGTTCTGATGATCAAGATGACAACGTCAAAATCTAAGTGTTCAGGAGTCGATGAGGATTCAGGAGTTTTTGAATTGATGCAGAATCAAGGTTGGGGGTTA